AAATTCATAATTTCATTCATTTTTTAAAGCAAACATGTCAAAATATTTGGTGATTCCAACTTCTCTGCTTTTCTTTGTCTTACATGGTAATCAAAACATATTTGGCTTTGGTCCGTTGGACAGAAAACAAAATCAAATTTGAGGATAATATAATTACCATTTTTCACTTTTTTATAGACCAAACAATGAATCAAATAACAGAGAAAATGATCGGCACATTAATCAATAATAAAAATGATCTGGAGTTGCAGTCCCACATGAGACCCACAAATTAGAGTCAAAAATAGGGAGAAAATAGCAAATGATTGCAGTGGTTGTTACATCACATCCTGTATTCAAGAAGTCAAGCAATGGTGCTCTAATTACAACCTTAATTTAATCAGGTAATCTCATTAAGATCGAGATCTCTTTTGCAAGAGAGACCTGAGTACAAGGAAAAAATAAGACGCACAACAAAACAACACCAAACTCAAGCACATCAGAAACAATCTCTAAAATAAGGTCCAAAATAAAAAGGTTGAATTCATCAAATGTAGTTTAAGTTGTATAGTCTCATAAGGTCTGTGGTGATTATCTGCTGTATTTCATGTCACATGTCTGTATTCCTCCAACCTGCCATCAGTGGAAAATGCCATTTTTTTTGTAGAAGAGGTAGTAACCAAATGATTTGGCCCAAAGTCGCCCTAAATCCAGCATGCCAAGGTTACATTATGCCAGCTAAATGACGAGATAGAAATGCAACTGGTCTGATTGTGGCTGCTGCCACCGGCCTAGCTAGACTGGCTAACTGCTGCTAACTATGTGACCCTAAAACCTAGCCAAATCTAGCAGCCATGCGTGCACATGGACCACAGCCGGCTGACATTTGGTCCTCCAGTGCAGTGCCTGAAAACAGCCTAACATGATGACTCTTTGTTGCCTTTGGAATCACCACATCGTAGTAATTAAAAGTAACCCAGTTGTGATTTCACGCAGGTGGCCTACGAGCAGGAAGACTACTACCACTCAGTGCAGTGGTTGGAGGAGTCGGTGCGTCTCTTCAGGGGACCAGGAGGCGAGTGGAGCCCTGAGAATGCAGGGACTTTAGAGGATGCTCTGGATCACCTGGCCTTCTCTCATTTTAAAGTAGGTAGAAGGACACATGGGAAATGCACATCTGTAAGATGATTGATGGATAGCACTGCTCTAAATTCCTATCATTGTTTCAGACAGGAAACATCTCCTACGCTCTCAGTTTATCTCAGGAGTTACTGCATCGTGGTAATTACCTTTAATTGACTTGTCCCTTTCCTTAAGTCATGTCTGTGGGGCATAAATCCCCTCTTTATGTCTGTGAACTTGCCGACTGAATGAAGCCTGTACTGTAAGCAATATGCTCTATAAAGTATCACATTTACACATGTTTCTTCTCAGATCCAATGAATGGAAGGGTTTCGCAGAATGTTGAGAAATACGAAAAGCTTCTGCTTTCACGTCCGCCCATACCAATCGGGATAGATGGGCTGAGGAGACCCGACTCCGATCATTTAAGGACCAGGGACACATACGAGAGGCTCTGCCAGACCAAAGGCTCTCAGGTATTCATCACAGTTATCATTGTGAACACAAATTGTGTATTAGGGAAAATATATAGAAGGGTTAAGAGATAGGTTAATACAACAACCAGAGTATTCTTAACATTACACATCCAGCAGCACATAACTCACAGCTGGCTATACTGAACATTTTTTAAAACATAGTGGTTTTATGATGAATGATGATTTTTTAAATTATTGACCAGAATTAAAGACCACAAACCAGAGAAACAAAAAATGACTTTAGGATTGAAACTATAGCCATGATGGTGGTTCTTAGGCACAGCGTTGCTTTGAGCTAAATGCTAAAATCCCCTTGCTGTCAATAACAATGCTAACATTTTTATGTTTAGCAGGTATAACTTTATTATGTTGGTGACCATCTTAGTTTGGTGTGTTAGCATGCTATTATTAGCTTACTATCACCAAAGTACAAATGTCACTAGTTTTGGAGGTATATGGTCATAAAAGTATTAAACATATCAAAACTATGACTTGATGATGGTGATTTTTCCAAGTTGTCAAGATATTTCATCATAGTCAGTAAGCCTCATCTTCTGGGGACCATGAATGTCTTTGGGAAAAACTCATCAGCAATCTATCCAAAAGTTGTTGAGCTGTTTCAGTCTGAACCAACGTGTTAAAAACGACCGACACTGCTATTCATAGAGCCACACTGCTAACATGGCTAAAGGAATGTAACTTCTGCATTTAACCCATCCCTAGCTCATTGGGAGCAGTGGGCTGCTGAGAAGCGGCCGGGGAGCAGTTAGGAGTTTAGTGTCTTGCTCAGGGACCCTCTCTACCCAATGAGCCACGGCCGCCTTTAAACAGCTCCAAGTAGTTTGTCACAGATTTGCCAACATTTTTTAAACCAATCCAAGAGTTTATTAAGATGCAAGTTTGTAATGGGGATGTCCTTGGCCACAGAAGGACTATTCTATTTATTTTTTTATTTTTGCAGTTTTAAGCTTGTGTGGCGAGAGAACAAGAGTAATTTTTTGCGAAAAAATAAAAACATTTTGTTTTGAGCATGTTAATGGACCTCAGATGCCTGTTTCTCTTTAGCAGCCAATGCAGTTTGAAAACCCCAGACTATTCTGCGACTACTTCACCAACGGGAATCCTCAGCTGCTACTTCTGCCTGTAAGACGTGAAGTGCTGAGCCTGCAGCCGTATGTGGTCCTGTACCACAACTTCATCACAGACACAGAGGCTGAGGACATCAAGAGGACCTCTCATCCAGGAGTGAGTGCATTTTCTTCATCATTTGCGGGTTAAAAACAACTAAAAACATATGTCTTCAATATGTCAGCTTTTTAGCAACTAAGCAATGCTTTTATACACAACACTGCATTATTTTAGGTAATCCAATTGGGTCGTCAAATGGTTTTGTAATCCTGTATTTTGTTGAGTTTTCTCTCACGGGACTCAAAAAAGTGAAGCTACAAAGCACTTTTTCTTGACAACAGCAAGAGTTCAAGAGAGTCTGTTAAAGATTGTTGAAGTAAACAAATAGATAAATAAATTCAACATTTTGTTGTTGCAATTCGAACGCCTTGTACCTTAGTCTCAAATTTAAGAATCAGGTCTTATTTTTTAACTGTTTTCACACAACTACCTATAACCACCAGGGATCTTGTTTTAAATGTGTCCTTGTTCATGAGTTTGTTCAAGATATGTTTTGCCCATGTGGTTTCCGCTCGGTTGATGGAAATTATTTGTAATTGGATTAATAGTAAGGGTACCTACAACAAAAATATCTTTTGTAAACATGCATATATTACTTGATAAACTGCTCTACTGTGGGTCTGGTTGGTTGCTGTGGTCTAAGCCAACCTTTTCCTGCTGGAAAGACCGTACGGAGGAACACTTGGTCTGCTTCCAAACATTTTCGCACGGCCGAAAGGAATGAGGGATACATTACTGTAAAAACTTGGCTGACCGCCTCAGACTGTCCAAATAACCCTGCTGGGCTCTGCTGGTAAATATTCAGTCCACTATCATGGAGCCTCAGTATCTATATGAAAGCAACCATCACTCTTCTGCTCATTTTATGGAGAGCTTCAGTGAATGATCCACAGAGCTGACTCAGTTGGGAATATTTGGTGGGCTAACTCAATTGGTGCCCTATAGTGTCTGTGAGGTTTTGGCATTGTTCAATGAGTTTTCCAGGCTTTGCTCAGATGGAAACCCCTGTACTTATGTCATCATTATGTCAGCCTGTGGGTTTATTGAAAACAGGCCAAGGGTACGGTATTAGTTTGGTGCACTGAGCAGCCTTCCTTAATGAACATGGTTTACACTTTGTTCATGCTGGATCCCGGAGCCCATACCACAGGTCTGTTGTTTGGGGTTAAGCATTCTTGATGATGAATTGATATGTGAAATAATAATTGTTTTTCAGTTGTTTTTACCATCTTCCCTCTTGCGTAGGCCCTTTGAAGCTGAATGATGTAATGTCTCTCATGGCAATAAGGTGCCTAGAAGTCATCAGGAGTTTGATCTGCAACATTAATCAAGAATATTCTGTTAGTAGTTTTCTGCATTGTACCAGCTTACGTACCCCATTACAAATTGGAAAAATATGTATGAAACAAGCAGAATGCAGTAGGACGATTCTGCAGTCCCAATAAATCACTGAGGCTTTATTTTAAGAAGGGGAGACATTCCAGCTCCCTTCCAGACTGAGACTTTGTGGTGCACTTTGACAAGGTGAAGATAAGATGAAACTTAAAACTGATAGCTGCAGGGGAAGAAAAAGGTCATCTGAACACCATAACTCCACCCGCTAACATTGGGCATGCAAAATTAGAAGAATAATGGAAGTCTATCATCGCAGCTTTTTGGATCCACATTCTTGATGTTCTCGAACCTGCTCTCAGTTGTTACTTTGGACACGACATTGGAACATGTTTTCATGCTCTTACTCACATTTCGTCAGGGCCTTTAGCCGGAAAACAAAATGTGGATGCTGTTAACAATCACACGCTCAAAAATTTTTTTTTTCTGTCTTTGATGACAAGTTGAAACGATCTGTGGTGGCAGCTGGAGAGAATCAAGCAACAGCAGAGTATCGCATCAGCAAGAGGTACAAAAGAGTTACTTGGTAGATATGTGCCTTCATGCTTTCAAGTTGTTATTTATAAATATCTTATTTCTAGTGCGTGGCTAAAGGACTCCGCACACTCCACTGTTGGGAAGCTGGACCACAAGATTTCCATGCTCACAGGTTTGAATGTGAAGCATCCATTTGGCGAGCACCTCCAGGTGGTTAATTATGGGATTGGTGGCCATTATGAGCCTCACTTTGACCATGCTACAGTAAGTTGATTGATAGACTTGTTTAACAAGTTCAGACACTTTATTATATTGCTATAGCTTTCGCATGATTTCTGTGCTTGCATTAATCACGATACATCAATTTTTTGTATTTATTCCAGTCGCCTTCGAGTCCCGTGTTCAAGCTGAAAACTGGGAATCGAGTGGCAACCTTTATGATATATGTGAGTCAAGTCTTACTCTTACTATCCTATGACCCTGTGTGACCCAGATAGCAGCCAGAGGTTCTTGGCCAGGTTCCTGTTCCTACTGCTCCAACCCATAAATTAAAAAACACAGGCTTTTGCCATGAATGCTGCAAGACTTTGGAGCAACCTGCCTCAGCCTGGATGTGACCTCAGTGCTTAAATTACTTTTATAAAGGTTCTGTCATGCAAAAAAACAAACTCCAATTTATGTCTCTCACCTACTTCTACATTTTTGCCCTCACTTGTATTTTTCTTCCATTCATTTAAACCATATTCATTTTGTAACTAATCTGTATTCATATATTATTAGTATTGTTTTTGTCATTACGTGAACATTTGAGTAAAATTGGACAGTGATTAAAAAAAAAAGAATGGTGTTTTGCAAGGTTTTAAAAACTGCAGCAGACAGAGTGGCTTTTCATAAAAAGAGCACATAAACACAAGACACAACTCTGAAGGAATGTCCTTTTCCACAGCTCAGCTCGGTCGAGGCAGGTGGGTCCACAGCCTTCATCTACGCCAACTTCAGCGTTCCTGTCGTGGAGGTAAACACTCTGCAAATAGCTAGATGAGCTCAAAGCAGTGTCTCTTGTCTTCATGTGATTTTTTATTTTTTTTGCCTTGAGCATTATTTTCATCTCACTCCACGCCTCACTCACATTCTCTGGTGCAGCTGTGAAAATGCTAAAAGGTCAGATCGTGGCAACAACAGCCAGGAGATTCTCTTCACCTCAACACTGCTATTGAATAGTTGAGCCTCAATGGAGGTTGAAGCTGTTTTTCGGTTGATAAATGAGCTGCAGTGGGATTTTTTTACCAGGGCACTCCTGGGGTTTAACCTCTCGCCTTCCATTTTATTGAGATTATTTCGGTGTCATATATTAGAGTAAATTGAATATCTTTTGGTCAATCAAATCAATTGTGAAAGGCATTTTGTGACCAAAAGATGAATCAATTGACCAAGTAATTAATTGTCAGATTGATTGATAATGAAAATAATTGTGAGTTGCAACTTTTCAAACTTATTAAAAGTGCTTTATATTGTTTTGGATTTCACAGAAAGCAGCCATTTTCTGGTGGAATCTCCATAGAAACGGTCAAGGAGATGCAGACACACTGCATGCTGGCTGCCCTGTGCTCATTGGGGACAAATGGGGTAAGAGTCAGTAGATCCAGTATGATGTGGTGATGCTGTCAAAGGGAGAATATGTAAAATAGCAAGGCAGAGCAATTTATCAGTGTCCTTTTAAGTCTTTTTTGCATAATTTTCATGGTCTGTTTCCAGTGTTCAGATTTCTGGTCGTACATGAGCTAATGTGCAACAGCCAGGCAACATCTGGCTGCATTATACAGTTAGAGACATGTGGTGGAAAATTTCTAGGTTAATCGGGAGGAGAGAGTTTATGTTCTCAAATCAATAATGAAGTCATCAGAATTTTCCGTTTATTCTGTTGCAAGAGGGAAGAAAGCACAGCAACTACGTATTCAGTAGACTGCGTGAAACCTTCTTCGACGAAATGCAATATTCAACATCATTTATGCATACAAATGTTCACGCCTTTACAACTTCAGATAATGCGTCAAAAGGGAATATGATATTTCAGACACAGGCTGCCTGTTCCTGCGGACGTTAGTTTCTGGAGTCAAGGTCTTGTCTCTGTGTCTCTGTCTTACCAACAAAGAAACAGTGTCTCTTCACTTCTCACCCTTGTGGGAAAAGATAACAAGACACCTGGATACAAAACTTAATTAAATCATCTACTGAAACTGCTGTTCTGTGTCTGCCTGTGTTGTACATTCTCTAACATTTCACATGATACTATAACATAACCTAACTTCTATATAAGTTAGGTTATGTTATAGTATAGATCGTAATTACGATCTATACTATAACATAATTTCCCATTACAGACGTTACAAAGTTAAGCTCAGTCATTGAGCGCTCATTTTGCATGCTGAATATCTGCTGTTGGTTGGCCCAGATCATGGAACTCCTGAAATGTGTTTTAGGCCCCCAGTTAAACTGACAGAAGGATATTAATCATCACAAAGCAGCAGAAGAAGCATTTAATGGTTGTGTTGTTTTTTAGCAACCATATACATAATCAGAAATTAATGCTAAGGCTCAAACTCAAAAAAGATGCAAAGGCAAGAAAACTTTCATTTATTAACAAACATATTTCACATCTTTCCGTATGTTCCAGTGGCAAACAAATGGATCCATGAGCATGGCCAAGAGTTCCAACATCGCTGCAGCCTGGATCCTGAAGAGTGAGAGGGCTGGAGTGATAGCTGGGCCCCTTGGAGTACAAGAGTAAGCCTCTACAGTTGAGAGGCACAATTGCAGGCGGAGGGGAGGAGGTAGCCAGAAAGTGAGCACACACAGTCAGGGGAAGTGAAAGCCGTCGTGGGACAGCCTGCATCTGTTATTGGAGCCCTGGGCCCCAGGGATCCTGGAGCGCACAGTGCTGCAGTGGACACGGATAGCACAAGACTGAGGGGCGGGGTAGAAGAAAGCCGTGGCAGTTGGCAATCAGCCCCCAGAGGCCAAACGCTCTCTTGCTCTTACTGGCGAGTTCCGGCAGATGGAGAGAGGCTTCTGCACACAGTGCTGGTTTCAGTTAACTGTGTTTGCGAGGCTGTTTGCCTCTCCTGCTTGCTTAACAACTGACATCTGCAGCCCTTCTCCAACATTGGGCCCACTCCAGGGTCTGTCGTTACAAATCAACACAGCTGTAGTCTGTGCAAACGGCAGAACTTTATTTATTTATGCAGAAGTTTACAAAGATACCAAATGTGCCTGAATTATAGTGAAATTAGTGTATAAACAGTTTTTTTTGAGATTTTTTTATATTCAAGTCCATTTAAAAGTGATAATGCTTCCATGATGTGCTGGAATAGGCAGATACACAGCATGAGACATTGTTTTACAGAGTGGCAAAACATTTTAGGACTTTAAAGGTAATATGTGTCAGCGACAGAGATTTTGGTTGAAGTTCTTCCGTAATGGGTCATGTCAGAGCTCAGGGCTGCAGCTCAGACTGGTGCTATGAGTCAAAGGAACCAGTCATTGTGAGTCTGCCAGCTAATTCCCAGCTGACTGAACGATGTGGTCGTTGCTGTCTGTGGGAGACTCTTTCAAAAACTGCCTGTATAATGGAACAGATGAACCGGGTCTGTCAGCCTCTTATTGAGCTTCAGAGGCTGGGGGTCATTAATCATGCTCTGCATGCCAAGTGACATGGAACACGTCTGCTCCAGACTTCTTGTCTGAACTCGCATAACCAAAGCTGTGTGCATGCCACTTGGATATCTCAGATAGCTGTGCCTAAGTAGGTCATAACCCATCTTAAACTGAGTGAAGTGGAACATACACTATTACAATTTACTGTATCTGCTTGGGCACTAAGAGGGCTATGTGTGACCTCTAAGAATTAAATGAAGATGATCTGTGAGAGTGAAAGGGAGTGACAGAGGAGTAATACCTCTGCCTGCTCACAGTGATACACATTTTCCTTCCAGTTCCCAACAGTGTATACAAACAGACACACTCTCCAAGTACACACTGACACAAAGCAAATATAAGCACACTGGATGCATATTGCTCATTCCTGTGTGCACACTAAACAGCAGAACTTAATTATTGATGGATAGCAAGACGCTGCTTTTCTGAAGCTGTAATTAGTTTCATTACAAGTATTCATGCCATTTAAACAGTCACAGCTACATTTAGCCTCAAAACACTAAGTAGATGAGACCACAAGTGTATTTCATTTTAAAAATGGTCTCAATATTGTCAACAAGGGGTTAACAACCACTTCAGCTATATTTATGGAAACGCATATTGTGAATATAGAGAAGTGTCCTATGCAAATGATAGATATACTGTATTTATTTCAGTTTGACTTGAAGCAGCAAAGGTTCATTTAAGATGTTTTTTTTCTTTCATACAATTAAATCAGAAACATAATAAACCAGTAAGTCCAGGAAAGCAGAAAGGTTTAAAGTAATGTTTCACAGGTCCAACTTACAACCTGAAGCCTGACTTTTCCTAGACTTCAAAGGGCTTTATTCTGCACTCATCCTTAACTCCTGCAGCGGCCCTCACTGTTACCATGATCACCACAACAAATGTGGCTCTAGAGGGACTTGTTGCTATGCAAGAGCATAGTCCAAACATCCTAAAGCGTACATGACTACACCATATGCCTACATCGACACGGTGGCAAGTAATTCTACATATTTAAAGGCAGACTTTATAACACACTGGGACATGCAACAATTTGAGATGTAGTTGATAATATGTTACATAGTTAGTTATTGTGCACAACTGATGGAAACATAGAATTGAATACAACGCTGACTTGCAGGGAAGCTGCGCAGCAACAGTTAAATAAAGTGAAGCAGAAATACTGTAAGCCTCTTTTAATCTCAGGTTCGATTAAGACAGAAAATCACTACAAAGTGCTGTTAGTGAGCAGCTTTGTACAAGGATGGAAAGATCAGTGCTGCTCCCCTCTGCTGGTGATGTAAAAGAAGGCTGCATGGTGTTAGTGAAAACTTGAAATGTTTTTCACTCTATTCAAATGTTTGTGCTACTTTTATTGTAAAGTTTCACAATAATTTATAATGTGTTTTTTTTTTTTGTAAAATGTTGACTGGATTATGTATTGTGTATTATGTATTATTATCTTTTGGTCCCACAGTCTAAAAACATGCAGTTAAGGTTAATTGGTGATTTTTCTCTCAATGTGGGTCACAATGTGTGAAACCACAATATTGACCTTTTTCGATATATTTTGGATGCATTAATGGCATTGCAGTCATGTTGAATTACTTTTGATGTATTGTTTTATTTGATTGCCTTTGTATTCCCCTTGCCAGCAAATGTGCCATATAAATCCATTGAATAAAAAAAATAATCGTCTAATGCAATTTGGGGTAAAAATCAATGACAGTAATTAAACAAGAGCATATGTTTCACTATTAAAAAGTGAAACACATGCAATGAATGGAAAAAATAAAGTAAAGTTATTAAGTTAAGTTTTATTTATAATTACTTAGTTTTACTTAACAAATGTAATAAACCTTATAATATCGAACAATATATTATGATTAAAAAAATCTGGTTCTATAAATTATTATTTGAGTGAATAGGTGCAATACTATACAGGCAAATTTCATAAATTAGATCTGAACCAAACATGCCTAAATACAAGACTGTTGTCCCACGAAAATATGTAGAAACTTTCTGCAGAAACGTTACTTTTTTAACCACAGCATCATAAACTACATTTCCCAGAATGCAACTGTGAAATGAAGCGGCAGCAGAGGCGCGGCACATTCGGACTTTGTTGCTCAGAAACAGTTTTGCGCGCTGACGCACGTGTGCGTGTTGGTGTTTTTGTGTGATGTGGGCAGTTCAAACAAGCAGCTCTGTTAAACGGATTATTAGTAACCTCGAGTGTGATACAAATCATGCCTGCTAACGGTTCACCAAGTGCTTTGGCCAGGCTGTCATCCACCATCTTTATTTACTGAGCAGCGGGATGAAGAGCAGAAGACAGAGGTCCGTCAAAGCTGGAAGCAGCAAAAAGATAAAAGGTAAACTGTTGTTAGCTTAGCTACCTGCTAGCAGTATAGCTAGGTTAGTAGCTGTTGGCGTCAGCTGTCAGTCTGACGTTAGTAGCCTGGGATGTTAGCATACTAGCTAATGTTATGTTATGTTAAGTTGAGCTCACGTTCTCTTTTGGTTTGTGTTGTTTCTGCATGTGTTGTCAATGTTGTTAACGTTAGGAACGTTAAGCATTTATTTATTAACTTGTAACGCAGTTTGTAGGTATGCCAAAGGATACTGAAAGCGAAGTATTACATTATGTTCCCTCTTTAGATGAAAATATTGTCGTTAACATCAGCTGTTTAACAAACTTTTTTCAAAGAGGGCCAGATTTGATAATGTGAAAATGCCCAAGGGCCAACAGTCCCTGCTGACATTATTTTAAACAATACAAGTAGCCTTGTAGATAAAACGGGGATGAATTTATATCATTGTATAAAGAGTCATGTCTGTAAGTTAAATCAGCTATAATCACTATTTTAAAGTGATTAGTGACTCGTCTAAAACATTTATAAAAGGAATAACTTCAATAGAATCATTCTATACACTGTAGCTTCTTTACATTCTAATAGAATGTAAATAAGTTACATTCTGATACAATGTAACTTCTTTACATTCTAATAGAATGTAAAGAAGTTACATTCTGATACAATGCAACTTCTTTACATTCTATTAGAATGTAAAGAAGTTACATTGTTGCCTTTTCTTTTCTTTTCTTCCCACAAGAACGTAATTTTGTCAGGTTGATAAAAAAGTCACTTTACTTCCTGACATTGTTACTTTACCACAGGGGTGTCCAAACGTTTTTCAAAGAGGGCCAGATTTGATAATGTGAAAATGCCCAAGGGCCAACAGTCCCTGCTGACATTATTTTAAACAATACAAGTAGCCTATACATACATTGTTATTTAATCATTTTGTTTTCAATGACAGCAAATAGCAATGTAACCAAATGTAAGCATTCATGTGTGAACACATCTCAACAACTATTCTGCCTTTCTTTCACATCTTGAAAGTCATAACACAAAGAACAAGCCATCTAAAAGCTAATTACATAGAAAACGATCAATATTCTCACCTCAAGACAATCTTAAATATGACTTAGTGAGGGTAATGAAAAGTTGTCCACATGAAACAGGCTAACGAAAAACATCAAGTTGTCTCTTAGTATGTGATGATAGCTCTTCAGTGTTACGAGCCAGGCAAACATTAGCAAACTCTGTCTTCTTCTCGGGGCAATTATGTTTTCTGCTATTTTCATAACACAGTCTTTGATAAACTCACCTTCCGTCAAAGGTTTGTCATGTTTAGCGGTTAGCATGGCCACTTGGTAGCTTACTGTGATGATGTTTTCATGTGAAAAGGACCGCTGCTGTGTGGCCAAGTTATCTTGGAGTTGCTTCACTTTTCTAGCTCGGTCGCTCTGATAGCTTGTTGTAGCATTAGCATGTTTGGTCTCGTAGTGTCTCTTTACATTATATTCCTTAAACTAGGCAACAGTCTCATGACTAATTAGGCAGACACAGTTGTTTCGGTTTTCGGTGAAAAAAATATTGCGATCTCCACCAAACCTGGAAGCCGCGGCCCTCATTATCGACTTTCCTTTTTTTACTTGCCGTAACATGACAGGTCAAGGGTCAGAGCCAATTTCAAACAGCCAGACAGTTACAGAGTGGTGCTGCCACCATGAGGTAAAAAGAGGAATTGCATGTTGAATTTGTATGATTTATTCATTCCGTTTCGACTGTGCTGGCGGGCCATAAATAATGCATTTTAAGACAGAAGGTGCGGGCCATATAAAATCTGACCTCGGGCCGTGATTGGCCCGCGGGCCGGACTTTGGACATGCCTGAACTATAACGTTTGTCTGTTGCTTAGTATAAATGTGTCTTTTAATCCGATATTGGTATTTCCTGCTGTGTCGTTTAAAACGTCTCAGTATTTGTTGTTGATAAGTACAGCTGCCCTGTGGCTAGATATGAGACTTTGCTGGTTAACTCTAGATTGAATTAATTATTTGAACTATTCTATACTTCGTGTGTTTAGAGCTTAAATATAATAAATGCCCTATATTTAGGGCATTTCCAACACTGAGGTAAAATGATGTGGAAAAGTGTCAGGACGCTTTCAGAGAGTGTCAAACACTGCTAAGTTCATGCATTATTGTCAGTGGTATTATACCTGTTATGATAACTGATTTTAAAGTCAAATATTGCTTCAGGGGTAGGTACAGTAGCCCAGAGGGATTAATCATGGATATTTATTGTAAGCAGTGTCTGCACGTTTGCAAAATCACATGTACAAGTGTCAAGTTGATCCTAAAGCCATTGAACTGTGTTTTCTCTGACATATACCTTAAAACAGAAAGCCAACATCGGGCTAAGACCTGCAGCAAATGCCACTCTTACTTGTCCTATTTTATGGTTATCTCTGATGTTAGTATTTACAGTGTTTGTATCTTGACTTAATTATAATAAAAATAACTCTTTGCAGTCCCCAGTGATGTGTCCCCCGCCACCAGCCTTCCTCCTCTTGTCGAGGGCCAGCTGCGATGCTTCCTGCGGGTGACAATAAGCCGGGTTTTATGGACCGCTCACAAGCCTCCATCTGCAACATTCGTCAGGCTGCGCTGGTGGGGAGAGTCTTCAAACGGGACGCACTTCTTTCCGAGAGATGGATCACATCCGTCACAGAAGACCATCAAGACCACATCCCGCTTCCCTATCCGCTGTGGGCCAAAGCAGTTCACCTCATATCTGACGGGTAACTAAGAAGGCTTTGATATGTTTACATTTCAAATGTTTAAAATCAGCCACTAACCTGTCTTTGATGAACAGATATGAGCTCGCTGGTGCTGGAAGTTCTGACCAAACCGGATCATTTGCCGATCGCACGGGCTGAGGTTGCGGGCATCTCTCGTCTCTCTCTGTCACACCCCATCAGTGGATTTTACACCCTTGTATCTCCGACATCTGAGAAGCTGGGAGAGTTACAGGTGAGTGGAAACCTGAATTCACATTGACCTGCCAACCGCATTTGTGCATGTTTGATATACTATAAGAGTAGTGGATAGGGAGACGTGCGTTAGGCAAGACAATTAATCTCTACCAGCTGCAGGGTTGCTGTTCTGTGGCTGTGACTTTTTTTGTGACTGTGACCAAAAGAGCATCACAAGTAACTTTGAAAGGCAGGGGAACCTAAAACATTGGATGCATAATGCTTTTTAAAACCTCTTAAGCCTGTTAACATACTTGTATCCAATGGCAAACAAACGATTGATTTTATTGAGCACCCCTTTGTGAGGTTCAAGGTGTTATAATTTTGCACCTGCAGTGTTAAAACCACATCTTAGCTTTTTTGTTTTCACCTCCTCAGGTTTCCATTAATTTGGAGCCTCTCACAGAAGCCTATGACAGCAGCAGCTCAGGTCCCGTCACAGATATCAGCATCGAAAAACCGCCAATCACCACACTGCCTGTGCCTTCACGGCCCAGATTGCTCTCAGCTGGCAGTGGGAAAGAATCAGCTGTGAGCAGCAGTGGGAACACTCCAAGGTTTGAAGTTGTTGCTGTTGTGTTGATACCATTCATACTCAACTGCCTGTGCGTTGTATTAAGAGCCTACTGGTAGTAAGTTTAAATCTGAGCATAATAATCTTACTGTATATCTCGCTTTAATATTTTCAGAGGGAAAGACCACTTATATTTCCAAAATGCCCAGAAAGACAAAGAAGAGTCACTGGAGAACCAGATGCCGACAACAAACAGATCTCAGAACAGTCAAACTGCTGTGAATCCTTCAAGTCAGGAGCCTTGTGGCCAAGCAACCACTGATATCCTGTCAGGTTGGTTGCAGCTTGACTACTCATCAGATGTACATACAGTAACAATAAACACACAAAATTGACTGTCTCCTCACAAATACCCAATGTTTTCTCTCATCTCAGTTATTCTAGAGCGTGGGAACAAGCTCAGAAATGCTATGGTGGTATCAGCTTTGAAATATGACATGGATTCTGCCCCGGCTCTGAAAGACACCCCACTACCTCTCCCAAAGGATAACATCCTGCCACCTTCCAAGTTTGTAAAAGAAACAACAACAACAACAACGTTTTCCATCATCTTACAATGCACATTCTATAATAATTCCTTTGTCTGCAGGCCCTTCCCTTCTCCCGCTGGGGTGTTTCTTCAGAATATTCTTCATGCTGATTCAACTCTCAAGCACTCTGATGATGTTGCTGTAATCTCAGACTGCAGCTTAGACTGTC